CACTCGATCCTAGGGGATGGGATTTTTGGCAGTCTGCCCGAGCTGTTATTTCTGACGTCATTGCAGTCACACGGTTGGTGCGGGGTACGAGCGGGGGTGGTTTCAGGTTTTATGAATGGAGTGAGTCTAGCTTCCCTTCCATCTGGGGGTGTGAGAGGTATCGAACCCTGTGCTCGGGGGTCTTTCTCATCCCACGCACGTCGAAGCCTTTGTCTGGCTACTTCCGCTCGCAGTGGCAAACGCCATTCATGGGCTGCAACCCACTCCGTCCAGTTTCAGCACATTTCTGCAAGTTCTGGAGATATATAGAACCCGATCGTCTGCAGTAACTTCCTCTTAAAACGTAAAAAAAGGTCAATGAAATCAAGTTCTGAGTTGATTGAAAATAAGCAGAACCTGGTATAATGAACTTTCCTTTATTTGAAGATTTCTGTCTTCTGGGTTGTTGCACTGTGTGGTCTGGTAGTTTCAGAGGTCATACTGCCTCCGTCATCAGGGCGATGAATATATCAATTGGGTGAGTAGGGCCCCACTCACCCAATTGGCATATTCATCGCCCTGATGACGGAGGCAGTACGACCTCTGAAACGTTGGTAAACATCGACCAGACTACACAGCGCAAGAACCCAGAAGACAGAAATCTTCATACTCACCGCTGTGAAAACCTCAAATCATACATTTCCTTTATTTGTATAATTTTGTGAAAGTTGCATCAGATGTTCGTGAGCTGGAATTGACATTTCTGTACAGATACTGGCTACAGGCTGGAAGACTAGGATTTAATTTCTATCGGGGTGAGACAGAGGGCAGAGCCACCACGCCCGCATCTGTTCACTGGACCTCGCGTATCCCAAAAATTACATCCCACTGTAGTAAGCACCCTCTGATACTCTTCCCCGAGACTTCAGTTAACAATAATATAATCTGAAGAAGCTGCCACTGCTAACCGCAAAATTTGGCAATCCGCGCTCGGAAAGTACACACTGTATAATTAGCGCGGCATCCATTTTGGTATTATTTGTTAGATTATGTCGGCAAAAAAGTCATTTCCAACGCTGCTTTTAGGATTATTATTGAATTCTAATAGATGTTTCCACTTCAACATTGTCACATCATATTAATCCGTAGGGGGCATACAGAATTAAATGACGCCATAATTCAAGCTTGCATCGACCTTAATACCGCACCGTAATTTATAAGCAATGTTAATGTATCGCAGACAGCTGGATGTGCATATATTACCGACCTGTATTTTCTCCTTTGGAAAACAATGTTATAAATCTTGCCTATGGGAATGTTGTGAGGTGCGGACCTACTTCGTATGCAGAAAATATAAACATCAGACATAAATGTTTATATACAGACGATATATAGTTTTGAGACTGATTTCATCTCACAGCCAGCTGTTTGTTGAAATTAATTCTGTCAAAGCGAGTTACTTACTTTGTACATTACTTGTTATAGGAAAAGGTCTAAACGGGGCTTCAAGACAATCTACAACTGCTTTGTAAATCCGTATTTTTCGAGTAAGTTTTGAAGCATGATCTGTAGTGTAAACAATCTCGTGAGATAACCGCTGGGATTTTGCTCAGTGCAAAGGCTGAAGAATCGAACAAGCAGAATTGTTTCTCTTTTAAGTCATATTCGTAACTATTTTATGTAGTGCGTTCACTGCTTGCTGCCTACATTATCAGGGCGGTTGTAGAGGCAGCAAGCACCTCTGAAACGTCGATAAACTTCTGCAGACTACATGGTGCATCAGCCGAGAACATAGGCATCTCGGTACTCACCGCTGTGAGAACCTCAAATATCCCTTAAATCTTCCATACTGATGGCGATCATTTCCAACATTTCTGAGCTGGATATGAAGGCTTTAATTTTCCCGTGATAATTACAGCGCATTTATAAAAAATGCAAATCATTATTATTGGTTTGTTTTTCATTCTCCTTTTTGCTTTCCAGTATTAGCTTCTTGTTTACGGAATTCTGTTTTATCTGCGACGGAAAGTTATTTTATCCCTGGTCAGAAAAATAGCGCCGACATTCAGAAAGTGAATAAAAATAATCTTAGATTAACGAAATTATTGCATTAGATGCGATCGTATTTCCGAGTAAATGTGACGTAATTAAAAATGTAGCACGCTTTACGTGTACCTAAGGGAATGGACAATACGTGGCAGTGATCGATAGGTCATCTTTGTTGACGTCACTCTCTCCCATACGTTTCTACGTCATAACGTATCAATAATTCGCATTATTGACTGTCGCTTGCTGGGAAACGTCTCCACTCGAGCAGGGTATCAGCGTTATTGCAGTGTCTAGGCGGTGTTAGACCGCCATCTCCTAGATACTGGCCTTCGAGAGGTAAAAACCATGGATAAAACGTTCAACTTCAAATGTATTGCAGTTTTGCATACGTGAACTCACCTCGTTACGTACTATAACACAGAAAATTAAACATGACAAAGTGAATAAATCGACCATCCTCACACTGTATTAATTTATTAGCCATTTTAAGAATATCATCCAACCTACACCTAGGTCTCCCATCTAATATAATTTATTTTCGATGTGAAAGATAAATAAACCTGAAACCACATGAATGTGTTATAATTGATTTTAATATTCACTGATATCGAAAATAAAAATACTTGTCAGTATGATGAAGGTGAAAACGTGACGTCAGAGCTCTCTATATGCTTAATTAAGCATCACGTCATGAAGACGTACGGAGGAGTGGAAGTGTAGCTCCAAACATTCTTAATCTCGGCGTTGGAATTGAGTCACTGCCAGTACAAACAGCCTAATCCTGAATAGTCGCTTGATTTTATAGTTTATATTTATTTTATGTTTTACATTAGCGGAACAAATGTCACTACCAATGTATCGAAATGTCAGAAGGTTTTCAGCAAAACAAATCATGTGCACTTAAAGCTGTCAGTAGCAGAAGCGAAAGGGACCGGGATTTTCCGTCGTAAGCAGGTTTCCGCTAAATATAGTTACTCCTGAATTAAATTTTTGTATGCTTATTATGCCCTCTACCGAATACTATAATTTTCCTTCATGAATCTTAAATGGATATAATTTTCAACTGCAAGATGCAAATTGTCTTAGTTTTCCCAGCAGTGCTATAAAGTGTTCTGCAGTTTTTCTTTTGACGTGGTGGTTTGACCGTCAATAAGTAATAATTCATTGAAGATTTCCGTCTTCTGGGTTGTTGCGCTGTGTAGTCTGGTCGATGTTAACCAACGTTTCAGAGGTCATACTGCCTCCGTCATCAGGGCGATAGAAGATTCTGTCTTCTGGGTTGTTGCGCCGTGTAGTCTGGTCGATGTTAACCAACGTTTCAGAGGTCATACTGCCTCCATCATCAGGGCGATGAGTATGAAGATTTCTGTCTTCTGGGTTGTTGCGCTGTGTAGTCTGGTCGATGTTAACCAACATTGCAAATCATGCTGTACTTCTCTGGAAACACATAGAAGAGGAATGTGTTTCTTTAAACTAAGGAGTATGGGAACTTAATCATGTGTCACACAGAGTAAATCGACATCGTATCAGCACCTACCTTTCGCAGTTCTTTCTCCATGTTCAAGAGCTGCTTGATCGTGCCGTACACGGACGAGGTGCGGTGCGCTGAGGGTAGGCTCCTGGTCAACATCTTATCCATGTCGTGTGCTGTGAACGGGTGTCGAACTGGTGTCGGCGGCCTCAGCAGTGCCACTTCTTTTTGGCCCCTTCTCGAGTCGAAGTCAGGAGCTGAGGTGGTTGTCGCTTCTGCAGGGGTTTGCGTAAGTGAAGAAATTGTTGGAATGGGCGTGGTTATTGGGCTAATGGCTTTAACTTTTTGTGCCGCTGCTGATTTTCGCTGTTCCTGGTACATTTTAGCAACATTTGTGCCTGAGACTGCGATGTCGTTTCCTTTCCTGTCTGAGAAGTTAATAGTGCCTTTCGGAATCCATGTCCCGTACTCGCTGGATTCTTGTTTCTTGTTGTAAGATCTGATGCTCTGGTACAGGGGCTCAGGGTTTCTCTTGTAAGGCATTCCACTGCTCCAGTTGTTTTCAAACCACGGGCCGTTATCGGTGGGGAACCAGATGGGCTCGTAATACTCAGGCCTTTGAGTGTTTTCGACGACAGAACTGTGAGTATACCAAGGTTGATCATGGTTGTTGAACTTGGTTGGTATGGCAGGGTACCAGCTGATAGGACTCTTGCTTAAGTGGTCACTTAATTCCCCACTCTGGTTCTTCTTCACTAGAGATTTGAGTTCTCTGACGTCTTCATCTTCAAGTTCTTCGTCGCTGTTCTGATAGTCACCAGAAATCTGACTTCTACTTTTACCTGTGTCGTACACCGAGGTATCTTGACTTTCGTCGTCTGCGACGGGATATACTGACCCTACGTAAGGAGGATGTCTCAGGACATGGCCACCGTCTGCATCGTTGTACATCTGGCTCATGATGAGGTTCTGTAGGAACGCTGCGTTTACGTCATCCATGCTCTCCCCTTTGGGATGTCTTTGTGAGGCAGCGGTTCCTTCAAACCAAGTCTCTTGGCCGATAGGCAGCGCTTCTTCGCGTTCTTCTCTTTCTTCTTCCTGCTGGATCTCTTCTTGCAGATCGTAAACAGGATCGCTTGCTTCATCATATCCGTAGTAACCATGACGACCATCTCCATAGTAGTAAGGTACCACCGACTGGTATACCGGATATTTCATGTTTCCGTTGTTGGCACTACCTGGAGGGTAGTACGGATAGGTGCTGAAACTTCCTGGATCTTGGACGTAGTAATAGTCGTTGTCAGGGTAATCCTGGGTGTAAGGATAGTTGACGACGGAGTCTGCTGCTGTGTAGTAGGAGGGGGCTGGAGGAATAAAGAGTCTGGGCACGCGGCTGGGGCTGTTGGTAAGCGTGGAAGTATGGTGCAGCTGGAACTCGATGTGGCAGACCTGCTGAGCGGCCGTAACGTTTGGTTCCGAAGACAGGATAGGCAAAGAAGGTGTCAGGAATCAAAATTAGGACAATGGAAAGGGCAAAAAGGGAAGGCGTGAGAGGAGAACTGGAACCTCTCTTGCAGGAGAACAGCATCTGTAGGCGAAACAGAAGAGAAAGTGTAGATGTTGCCACGGAAACTGGTGGCAATGCACGTGCGGTGCAGTAAATTGCAGGAAGTTTTATTGCAGCCTGAGTCGTCTAGTGCAGTGGTATTCAACCTTTTTTGTTCGCGTACCCCCAGATATAATTTATCTTCAACTTTGTACCCCCAAATTTGTGGGTGTATAATTCAAGTTATACATAGTGTATAATATACATCTAAAATAAATTAAATAAATTACATTACTGATTATTTAGTGTTTATCATAAAATAATATATATATTTTTTAAATTTCAGGTGACCCCTAAGATGTCTTCGCGTACCCCCGGGGGTACGCGTACCCCAGGTTGAAAACCACTGGTCTACAGAACGTGATGGGAGGCTGATTTAACTGATTTTTACGTATCAAACTTTATGGAACAGAGTACGTTTTGAGAAGCTAATAGTCCCACAGCTGATTTATATTATTTTTCGTCTTTCATGGAACTCCGAGGTCTATTGTTATGTTTGCAAGGGTCCACCACTGACTCGTATTCCGAGTCCGATTAATCGAGGCCACAGCCTCCTTCCTACCTCATTATTTTAAGATTGATTGTCGGTATTTTCCTCTTATGTGGCCTTGTATCTCCCACATTGTCTCACTCATTCAGACTTTCCTCTTTAGTTTTGTATACATTTCGTGTATTTGCCATACGTGCTAATGCCCTGTCCCCAATACTCACTTGTTTGGTCGAACATAATATTTGGCGAAGAGTGTACACCATGAATCTCGTCTTTAAGGCTGTTTCTCCCGAATCGTACTCTGAAAGCCAAAGGCTTTTTATAGATCTCGAATGATCTCGTGTGACTTACATTTCACCACGCCCTTGTTTCCTTCTGGCAACCGCTGACATTTGAAAGCTCTGCTCTGTCTTTAAGATGTTCATTATTTTTGTTTTGTCATATGAAAATTTCAGCGATCATTTGTAATATGCAGTAATATAGATAGGCATTAAAAATAAATACTTTTAATAAGCGTTGTACTATTGTGTTGAAATCAGTGTTAATTTTAGACGGGATTAGATAACCGAATCAAAATTGTTGTTAACTTTATCTATCATAAATTTCAATGTGGGTGCAAAGTGTAGAACAGTTCTGAACAGAAGCACTAGATCCTGTCCCCGGGACGTCAGATCGATGCGTGACCCACTTCAACAATTTCCCTTATAATGTAACTCGGCTAGCCCCTGAGGTCTCGTCCCTGCCACAGATTTGCATAATCTAAACAGAGTGACGGAGCCTTCGTGCTATCCGAGTTAGCCCGACTAACACTTTGAATGACCAACAAATGCGAAGTCTTTTGTATTATTTTCGTGGTCCATGCGCTAGAACACAGAAGAAGCAATCGAGATCAAATGCGTCATTATCCGGCTCCTGTCAGCGAGGCGCTCGTCGGGAGCGTTAGCCTCGTCTGTCTTGCTAACAGTGGCGGGCGCTTTGAGCTTCGGGGTTTATAAAAGACAGGAAACATAATTTATAAATGCATCATACCAAGCAAAGATTATTTGACCTCAGCGCATGTAGTTCTTTGCACGAATAAAAAGTTCCTTGGATATTTTCCATCGTCTAGTAAAACAATAAAATAGAAAACGACGTTTCGGAGATGGGCATCTATCTCCGACTTAAGGTACCTACTCTGTTGAACCCAATAGATAGAGCTAATCTCTATATCCGGACACGAAGACGGAGATAGAGCCCCATCTCCGAAACGTCGTTTTCTATTTTATTGTTTTACTAGACGATGGAAAATATCCAAGGAACTTCTTATTCAAATAACTCACCATCGTCACGAACTTTTAGATTTGATAGTTCTTTACATGTTTAGATTTACATGGGATAAATTCCATACTTGTTGTCTGTCTGCCTCTATTAAATATATAAATTTCGCTTACGGAACGGCTAATATATAAGTTTTGCTCGTTGGAGGATGTCAATGGATCTGCCTTTACACCGACGTTATGAAACGGCCTTTTTTTGGAAGGTGAGACCTATATTATCAATTGAGACCTCTCGTTCTTAGCACGTACTTAACGTATTATATGATTTGCTGCGGTTCAGAGTTGTACTGGCACCAAAATAGTGTCACAGTACCTAAGCTATAAAGAGGTGGCACTAAGATGATTAGTGCTACTCTAATCATATTCTACGCTCCTGTTGATTTTACATGCGCAGATCCTGGGCAAAATATCCGGGGGATATTGAGAAATGTGCGAACCGAACCGCTGTACTCTGTAGTCGTACGTTATAATTACCAGGCGAACGTTGATTCGCTGATACAGATTTACTGCTCAGCCAACTAAAACACGTCAAATGCGAAAATGTGCATCTTTACATGAGTTCAGTAGTGACAAATGATACTGTTTTTTTATTTTGTTTATAAATGAGATTCAATCTTTAATTTAAGGAAGACCATATGCAATTGATAATGTTTCATAACTAACATTTAAAACATGTCTGTTTTGTATCGACGCCTTGAGAACCTGAAAATTTACCAACAGCTAACAAAATTATATTTATGAATAATACAAATTATTCTTCGAAGTAGACGAGATTTCGTCTGAAATGAAACTAATTGAACCTTCTGAAGTCCAGTGGTAACTATGTGTACCACCTGCTTTGACAGTAATTGTCTCTGTGTTTTATATTAATGAGTTCCATGCGATTCTCGCGATAAACAGCTATTATTTTCTGAAACAGCGTTAATCAGTTAATCTTTGTAACGATGAAGTGCTCTGAGATTTGAACCTGAAATCTCTCATGTACGAAACATGAATGTCGACCACTTATCCTCAGTGTTTCTGACAATCGTTTTAAAATTTGTTTTGTTAACATAATATACAGCCAGAAGGTGTAATATTAAATTTATTTTCGGTTATTGAATCAAGATTTTGTGAAAGGAAACAATACAAAATTGTGCATGTGTTGTTCTTGTTCGTTTAAATATTAATACTTTAAATATTTTTATCATACAGTTTTAATAACAATCTTGAACCTATTTATCTGTTTGACTTATATATGAATATATAACAAATACGAAAGATTCTTTTGGGTATATATGAATAAACTGTGTGCGTTGTAGATTTAAAGTTAACTTCTGGTTTCCAAGCTATTGGACGCGAATGTATTTTCTGAGACGCATTTCGCGTGTGTCACTTTCCTCCACCACACACAAACTAACGAAGCAACACGTCACGAAATGTTATTACGAAAGATTTGTGTCATGAATTCGAGTCCCCCTCCTCCTCGAGTTACAGATATTTTTTCTCGTATTTCTGTGCTGTGTCGCCTTGCCACTGGCCGACTTCCGCGAATGTAATCCTGTCAGATTTCGAATTAAGGATCGGAAAACTGCCCGAAAAGTTCTTCAGAAAGGTCTAGTGGTATGCAGCTTCTACCATGTTATCGCGAATTACTGTACTGTACAGCCACAGATTTTATGAAATTTGTACGACTGCTTGATTTTCCGTTTAGAAGAAATTGTTGCGAATTTACCAACCGATCACTATGATAATTAACACCTCTGCTATCATTAATCATAAAGGCACACAATAAATAAAAAAATTCTACTCTTAGTTTATGCTTTAATACAATCGGTATTATTTCATCGTTTTAAGACGTCTGAAAGCGAAAGTAACGTTTGAATGCAGATTGTGGGATTTTGTATCGCACTTTGTGAATTATTGTTTTTTTTTGTTACAGATTTTTGCTACCATAGTATAAGGAAGTGAAGAGTACTCACTATGATACCCGCGCTGTCTTCACTAGTAGCCGGTCTTCTTCACAGAAATTCAATGACACTGTCAAAAAATGAAACTTTTGTTTTCCCTCAAAAATCTGAAAATCACAGCGGGTTCAAACACCTTGGGGTCCGACTCGTAGTTCGCAGTGTGTTGCAGAAAGTCGTGTTCTAGGCGCATGGATCACTTCTATTTATAAGCCAGTATTCATACACCCCTTCCACCCCCCACTGCTGGAGTTTGAGCCCCCACCACTACCCCTTTCCATCCTACACCCACACGTTCTGAATGAAACCGTAAGCACGGGGAAGGGGGGGGTGACGTGGAGGACGACCAAGAGCCGCGCAAACTGCGACAAAAGTTGTATAATCAAGTATTCCATTTCCTATTGGTACACCGGTTTGTAACCTAGTTTGTGATTGGCTGTTGCAGTCGCAGTTAAGCTTTCAAACATGTTCTATTGATCTCAGACGCGGGATTCCCCTCTCTCCTCGTTAGAAGAGCACTTTGCGCGGGACGCGAATACCCACGAAAATATATGGGGTCTTGTTTCCGGGTGTTCCACTTGGCTCCTCCCGGATTTTTTTTAGTGATTTCTTTTTGTGGCCCACGCTTCTCCCATTCACATCTCTGGCATTGATCCCTGCGTCCCACACGATTCTAAAGTTAATGGTCTCCGTCTGCCAAATTTAGTTCAGTAAACATATGGCACAGATGTACCTGGATTTGTGTTCCATCGCGTGTAGAACATTATTTCAAGTTACCAACTGCGTTTTTCTAAGATCTGGCGAATTACCTGTAAGGTATTTTACGTCGTTTAATTGTGTATTTTAGGAACTCGGTGTTGAAGTATTTGGATACATTTTTATTTATTTTAATATTATATTATATACATGTTTTCTACATGTTTTTATGCATATGTTTTATGTATCAAGGCATGTTGTAAATTAATACAGATGTGCGTAAATTCACAATTGAGTTACAGTCGTTATGTTGA